CTCTTGTGGGACAGTCTTATAGGACACTCTTGTAGGAAACTCTTGTGGGACACTCTTGTAGGACACTCTTCTGGGACACTCTTCTGGGACACTCTTGTAGGACACTCTTGTAGGACACTCTTGTGGGGCACTCTTATAGGACACTCTTGTGGAACACTCTTGTGGGACACTCTTATAGGACACTCTTGTGGGACACTCTTGTAGGACACTCTTGTGAGACACTCTTGTAGGACACTCTTGTGGGACACTCTTGTGACACACTCTTGTGGGACACTCTTGTGGGACACTGTTATAGGACACTCTTGTAGGAAACTCTTGTGGGACACTCTTGTAAGACACTCTTGTGGGGCACTCTTATAGGACACTCTTGTGGGTCACTCTTGTAGGAAACTCTTGTGGGACACTCTTGTGGGACACTCATATAGGCCACTGTTGTGGAAAACTCTTGTGGGACAATCTTGTAGGACACTCTTGTGGGTCACTCTTGCAGGAAACTCTTGCGGGGCACTGTTTCGGGACACTCTTGTAGGACACTCTTGCGGGACACTCTTCTGGGACACTCTTGTGGGGCACTCTTGTAGGACACTCTTGTAGGAAACTCTTGGCGGGGACTGTTTTGGGACACTCTTGTAGGACACTCTTGCGGGACACTCTTGTAGGACACTCTTGTGGGACACTCTTGTAGGACACTCTTGCGGGCCACTCTTACGGGGCACTCTTGTGGGACACTCTTGTGGGACACTCTTGTGGGTCACTCTTATAGGACACTCTTGTCGGACATTCTTGTGGGACAGTCTTGTGACACACTCTTATAGGACACTCTTGTGGGTCACTCTTACAGGACACTCTTGTGGGACACGCTTGTAGGACACTCTTGTAGGACACTCTTGTGGGACACTCTTGTGGGACACTCTTGTGTGACACTCTTGTAGGAAACTCTTGTGGGACACTCTTGTAGGACACTCTTGTGGGGCACTCTTATAGGACACTCTTGTGGGACACTCTTAAGGGACACTCTTGTGAGACACTCTTGTGGGACACGGTTGCGGGACACTCTTGTGGAACACTCTTGTGGGACAGTCTTGTGGGACACTCGTGTCGCGACACGGTCTGCCCACACACTAGAAGCAGTCACGCGAGCGTTTCGTACGAGACTTCCTCCAAAAGTCACGCTTCGAGGCTGCAACACGAGCGTTTCGTACGAGACTTCCTCCTAAAGTCACGCGTCAAGTCTCCAAAACGGAGCGTTTCGTACGAGACCTCCTCCAAAAGTCACACGTCAAGTCTCCAAAACGAGCGTTTCGTACGAGACCTCCTCCAAAAGTCACGTGTCAACTCTCCAAAACGAACGTCTCGTACGAGACTTCCTCAAAAACTCACATGTCAAAGTCTCCAAAACGAGCGTTTCGTACGAGACTTCCTCCAAAAGTCAAACGGAAACACCCATCGGAGCACACACATCACGCAACCCTGCCAAGCAGTTTCGCGATTCCAGCCCCTCCAAACGACACCCGCTCACACTCCAATCCCAATGTAACAGCGACATTCACCTCTACCATAACTCACGACCTCGCGATTCCCTGCGCCTGCCACGAATCTTTCCGCATCCACACGTTTAACGCGCACAAAGTACTGCGCCTGCCACGAAATGTCAACTCCGTCACACCTCGCAACCTCACGATTTCCTGCGCCTGCCACGAAAATCGCACTTCCACATCTCAAAATCAGCACAAAGTACTGTGCCTGCCACGAAAAGTGAGAATATCGTCTCACATGAGCTTCAACAAAATTTGCACCACACCACACGTTTAGAATAATTTCGATCCGTTCTGAGCACACTCCCATCCACCAAAATCGCCATTTCAGCTGAGACTTGTCACGAAAACAAAGCTTCGATGCCACACCCTAAAATGCAAATCCCAATGGCACGGCCACATTCAACACCCCAAAAACACGACTCTCCAAACGCTAATCCCAATGGAACTGCGCAGTAAACTGCGGATCTCTCAAACCACTGCGCCTATGCAGCGAAATGCATCACGCTTCTTGCGCGACATGTCATTTTTATGTAAATCACAATAGAATACCGTCGCAAACTAACACGTAACGCATCCATGAAAAATCACTTGCAAAAGCTTCCCCCAATGGCAACGCCTTAGCGTCCTATTGCGAATATAGCAATAACGGATCGCGAACAAGACTCTACCCCCAGATCCCCAAGAGTTAGACGAGAACCCTTCGCTACGCATTCGGAAAAAAAGAATCTTCCTATAGGGCTCTTTTTTTTGCGCCTCTAAAAATATTTCTTAATTTACATCGAATTCTTCCCAATAATATTTAAAAAAGATATAATTACCATAAATATATATAAAATAAACAATATTATATATAAATTCAAACCATTCAATTATCATAAATCATCAAATACATATAAAAATAATATTTCATTGTCGAAAAATTCATTGTATATATCCAATAAAAATATAAATTTGCCGCATTAAAAAAAACATCGATTCATAATGTTTCAATATTATAAATTTATGTATTAAAATATATTATATTATAATTTAATATTTATATATACATTTCTTTAAAATTAATTTATTCAATCAAATAATATTTATTATAATAAAATATGTATAAATATTTTATATATTTCAATATTTTTTATCGATAAATTAAAATTATATATCAATTCAATTGCCCTATTCATAAATATATATAATATATTCTTTAAAGACAAAAAATCATTCATATTAAATAATCGATATATATATTCAAAATATAAATTCATTATTTTTAAATCTTCGACCTTCGAATTCATGTATAAAATGAATAAATATTCTTTAATAATCATAAAACATAGTTAATTATTATATAGTATATTTAACCAATATTTAAATTCGATTTTTTTTATTTATATACATTAATTTATATTAATAATATATATATATATAATATAAACAAAAAAAAATATATAAAAACAATATAAATATATATATACATATTACACGCCGAAATTACTTCAAACAAATTTAGTTATATACAAGAATATTTATTTATATATATTTATATAAATATTCAATTCATATATATTATACAATCAATTTATATAATTCAAAGGTTTCGGGCCAATTATTAAATAATCGATCCGTATGACCCAGGTATCGCAAAGCATTGCGCCTGCCAAAAGAAGGCACCGCAATCAATGATTGGGTGATGGATTTATTGTAGTCCTTCAATAAGTTCTTTCATGGAAGGTTGAAAGATATGGTAATCTTTTTGTTCAAAATCATCGACGAATCAAATTAACACCTGCTTCGACACCACACATCTCACTGTCTTTGCCTTTGCTTTAGGAGCACGCAAGGCGATCAATTGCGACGGTCATCAACATGCTCAGATTCGCCTCCCTTTTTGGTAAGTTCACCCCCGAACATCCTTTTCGTCACTTGTCCCCACTTATGTCAGAATTGTTAAGATGTTGACACAGACGGTGCACTGTTCATCTACCCGATCACGATCACGTCTAGGCCCTATAGATCAAGGTCCAAGACAATTCCTCTTCTCGCTCACCCACCGGCCTTCCGAAAAATAAAGGAGTCGTATTCGACTTCCAGCGCTGTTTGTTGCATGACCGATAGGTGTCAGATTGATCAAGTTCGATTCCAAAGACTATAGCTGCTGCAAGCATTGTCAACAATATCATATTGATTATTTGTTGTGAGACCTATTTATAGCTTTGTTTTGTGTTTTGATGATTCTTGATGCTTTTTGTAGCGCAATCAATATCTACCAGTGAATCGTAGGGAGTGCAGAACATGCAACGATTGTACTACAGACACTTCAATCTTTGAATGAAATGTTCCACTTCGGCGACGCGGTCCTGCGAGGCCTCGGCAGAAGAACTTTCAGACATGCAAAAATGGCATCAAAAATCCATAGTGTAGACTATCTGGCATGAGATGTGGCAAAAGCACATATGATTAAACCACATGAATGTCTCTTTTGACTTCTCTGTTGTCACCAACAAAAAACAATGGAAGTATCCTTTGAAGCGCTGCATCTTCACGACATCTCCATTGCTGAACGGATTCGTCCTTGAGATCCCTTTTGATGTCATCGGATCTTTCGGAGTAGCCCTGAATCTCCTAAGCCATCCACGCTTTGTGTGCTACTTCAAGCTCACAGCCCTCTTCTTTTCTCCTACAGCCCTCTTCTTGGTAGAAATCTCAAAACGCATCTGTAATATTCAGGTGATGAAATTACGCAGTACTTAAGAATAGCACCTTCCATTAATTAAGCACTCAGTCTGCCATCCTGTCCTGCCGTAGCTTTCGTTCCTGTTCCTCAGACCTGACGCAGGCTAAGAGGTTCTGCGCTTGACGTGACGTAGCAAGAAATTGTAAGCCCACAAACTGGGCGTGGCTGGCGATTCCCACTTCGACGCAAACGTGCACGCGCAAAAAGTAACCAAACATTTGCAGAGCGCAGGACAAAATAGTGCGTCGTACTACGCTGTTGTTCTCTGAAAAGCGTGTGGTGTGAGAAAACGGCTGGCCGACACACAGGGCCAACGCATTCGGCCCTAGGGCAAAAAGGTTAGACGAGGTTATGACCCCAAACACTCTGCAAGCGATGCAAAGCATCACGTGCGCTAGTAAAACCACACAGCACAACAACGCCTCTTAATTAAATCTCATTAAACAGAACGGCAGGCCCTGAGAGTGCAGTTTTTTGCTATTTTCCATTTGTTCTTAGGCCTAGATTTTACTACAGAAACTGTACTCCCAGGGTGGCAGCAGGCAAGGCAAAACAATTTTTGGATCTAGAGTGGTACCAAAAACATTGAAACAATCAAGAAAAAACATATATTTTCAGACTCTCTGGAGGGGGTGGGTTCCCAGCCAAGATTTTCTGAATATTCTTTGTGGCAGCAGGCAAGGCAAGGCAATATTTGGATCCAGGGGGTGCCAAAAACATTGAAAAAGACAAAAACAAAAAACAACAATAAAACTATCTGAATATTTTTCTTATTTTCCACTGTTTTTGTGATATTTGGCAGCCGTGTCTGCTATTTTTTCACTCATCCTTTGTCTTTCGGTCTGTTTCGCAAGTTCGGTTTACAGGAGCCAATCGCTAAACGCTGCAACTACGAACATACTGGGCATGAAGAGCAAAAATATCTAAACATAAATATTGCCAGGAGTGCACTCTGCAGAAAATTCTGCACTTTGTGAGCACTTCTTGAAGAAACACGCTAAAACACACCAAAAAAACATGTTTTCAGAAGTTTGTCCTCTGTGGGAGGGTTCAGTCAAGACTCTCATAAATATACATTTTTGTATTTTCTCAAGGTGTTTTTGGCTTTGTCCCATGGGGTCTGTATTTATGTGTTCCATAAAAGGGTTGATATTTCAAGTGGCAGATAAATATATATACATATATACATATATGTGTATATATATAGCATAAAATTAAAGAAAACACACACCTCTAGACAATTTTATTTCCCAGAGGTCCCGAGGAAAACTATAAAAATAAAAGCTTTCAAACAAAGCTTTTCAATATAGAAGTGATCAATCCCAGAGATCTGGAGGTAAGTTTGTGCAAAACACTTCTACTTCATATATGTTCATAGAAAGCTTTTTAACATAGAAATATGTTATTCACAAAGATCCTTTCTTGTGAAATACACAGCTTCCATATATAATCTTTAAACAAATCATCATGCCCAAAGATCTTGGGGACAGCTTTTGAAATGCACCCTTGGATATTAGTCTTGAATATAGAAGTGATCAATCCCAGAAATCTAGGGAACAGCTTTTGGAAAAAACACTTACAATGTAGAAGGCAGCTTTAAATATAGAAATTGTTATTTTCAGAAATGAAACGGTAAGCTTTAAAATAAGATATACATGCTTAAATATGGAAATGCTTATTCTCAGAGATTTAAAGGACAGCTTTTGAACAAAACGGCGTTCAACTATAGCGTTTTAATGTAAAAACTTCAGAAAATCCAGAGGTGAAGGGGAAAACTCTTGAATTAGCAGCTTTAACATATTTTGTTATCGAAGGGATCATTCCAGAGATCTATATAGAGGAAAACCTTTGACATAGAATTTTTTATACAAAGCTTTCTTAATATAGAAATGATTATTCCAAATATTACTTGAACAAGTCTATGTCTACCCAAAAGGCAATGTTTTGACCTAGTTCCCAGCACTCACAGGGCATAAAAACACTGTAAAGCATATGATTTTATATCATTTTGTCTTAAACTCACACCCCCAGCAACACCTGCTCTCTGGAATTAAATTAGACTTGACCAAGAAGCTAATTTTCACAATCAATATATTATATATATTTTTTTTTGGCTTAAAGAACTATGAGATTTGACCCTATAGTGGTTATGCCAAAGTTTTACTATACCTTAGTCTAAAGAAAATGTTAGCTTTTGCAGTAAAGGTACCCTTCTCACACCCAATTGTCTTGCCAAACTCTCACCTTCTAGCTCTGCCATCACGAAAAAGCCAGACTCAAAGGCAACTGGACACTATATAGATGCTGATAAGCCACAAAACTATACATGTCAAATGACATAATGGAATTCTAAAAATAGCAAAAAAGTGCACTCGCACAGCCTGCCACTCTCTAACTAAAAGACCCTAACCTCACTCTGTAAGCGATGCAACGTGGAGACCAAAATAGGAAGCAAAACGGATTAAACAACAAAAAGGCACCAATCGCGTGTCATCGAATGACCGAATGATTAAATTGAGGTGAGGGGGAGGGGGGAGTTTATCACCAATTCATCTCGCGCTTTTTTCTTCGCACCTTTCATCTCATAGGACCACTTCATGTCCACAAAGGTTTTCTGTGGGAGTAGTGATGTTCTACTGGATTACCTGATAATTGGCAGTCAAAGACTATTTAAAAAAAAAACGCAAACCATGCAATAAGGGCGATTCGTGGACAGCCTTCTTTCGCACGAATCGTGTCCATCTCCCTTTGAGGCTTCCAAGTTCTTCATGTAATTTGTTTGAGTTCTTCGGCGCGCGTTTTCCTCAGCTTTACTGCTACCAAGACCCCCAGTGCTTCGACTTCGCGCGTGCGATCCGCGATTTGAATGCGCAATGGTCAACGTTATGAGACTACTGTGTTAACGAGGATGGACAGAAGGACTTGCTTGGAAGGAGGTCAAGTGAGTCAGCCTTCTGACAGGCGCGTCACGAAGCGCAAACTAGGAGACAAACCTGATTCTATAGAGGCAGGTTTCAGCATAATATCATGTCATGTCCTAAGTTGGCCGAGCCTCAAGTTGGTCGAATCCAACGTCACCTCTCAAAATGTGTGTTGTATAATTTGCATATCTTCTCGTTTCCTCTCTTCCAAGGGACCTCGGGTGTTTTGCAATCCACCTATTCTGACACCCTTCTCTTGCGCGTGCCAGCCAAACCAACCACGGGCCACACAAGCGATATATAACAAAAAAGGATGCTAAAACGCGCCTGCGATTCAACTCTGTCTTCACCTCTTTGGCTTTTTCATCCAATGCATTCTGAAGCTTCTCCTCTGAGCCCTGTCACAAATTGAGACAGCCGGCTGAAATAATCGAGGCCAAGGGTCAACCTTAATTGGTGAAGTCCAGCTTAAGTAAGGTATTTGCCTTGCCACCTCCAGAATCAACAATACAAGTGTTAGGAGGACTCTTCTTAGTGTGTGAAGTGTACCAGTGAAATCCGAGGAGCATCACTGCTCGACAGAGCTATGTTCACTCAACGCCAAAGCTTTGAAGAAAACTCAATGCCACTGTGCGAACACCAGCTAGCGCCTTGATACGATGTCTCACATCATCCTCCAGCTTGGCTCCACGCTCCTCCAGTTTGGCTCCACGTTGTCTTGCGTCCTCCTCCAGTTTGGCTCCACGTTGTCTCGCATCCTCCTCCAGTTTCGCTCCAAGTTCGCGAACCTGCCAACACAGTGTGTCTCAGCGCCACGCGCCGCCTGACTTGAGACTTATGGTGTGACGTGCGCCAGGCTGGGGGCGCATCCTTAGAGTCGCTCATGTTGAACAATGAACAACCAACCTTGGGCAAAAAAGAATTAACAAATACTGAAGAACATAATGTAGGCTGTCAAGCAATAGAACTGGTTTTACATCTCCATATGGGGTTAATTGTATGAATCAACAGTCAACATGAGGTTCAAGGATGCTTCAAGTACACCTCGCCACTCAGCCTTTTCAAGCGAACTTAACTAAGTTCGGCAGTCTGGCCTAGTCTTTTAGTCTTGGAGCAACTAAGGCAAGCGAATGAATCTGTCTAACACAAGCCGCTATTTTCATCTCTTTTCATAATTCAAGATGCGAGATGTAGCTACGCGCATCTACAAACTACGCAAACTTGGCTGGGCAGCTTCGGTCCCTCGTCACTGAACGACATGGACATTCTTCTTGGGACCCATCGGAAGTGGCACCTCCCCTGTCAGGCTTGCTCTTGCCTGCCGCGCTTGTTGCTGCAATTCCTCCTGACTAGCAGCGAGTGCCTGTGGCGGAGCCGAGAACGACCTTCCAAGAATTCGAAACTTGGAGAGCAAAGAATTGGGAGCAAATTCCACCGCAGTCGTTCCACCGTCGTCGATGCGGCGTGCTGCAATTGTTTGAAAAACTCAAGAAAACTGATGCCTCGGCGCGCCGCCGGTGCGAATCTATCTGATCTGAAGTCTGCTTCATAGAGTCCTGAGCACAAATTTGTGACAGAAAATGTTTCGTGGATCACCTACAACTAAAATGAAGATCAAATCCAAAGCTCAACCACCATGGCACCAATCGAAAAACAACTCATGTGCCTAACATTTCCCCCTGCGTTCCCATGGCCCCGCAACGATCCAAGAAGAGAGAGAGAGAGAGAGAGAAGGGGGAGAGAGAGAGAGAGAAAGAAGGGAGAAGAGAAAGAAGGGAGAGAAAGAAGGGAGAAGAGAAAGAAGAGAGAGTAGAGAGAGAAAAGAGACAAGAGAGGCAAGAGAGAAAAAAAAGAGAGAGAGAAGAGAGAGAGAAAAGAGATAAATCAAGACATAAATAAAGAAAGATAGAAAGAAAGAGAGACAAAAGGAACCAAAGAAAAAAAAAACACTGATTGAATGAATGAATGAATGAATGAAGGAAGGAAAGAATGAAATGAAGGAATGAACGAGCGAACGAAAGGAAGGGAGAAAGGAAGAGAGGGAAAGAGAGAGAAGAAAGAGAGAGAGAGAGAGAGGGAGAGAGAGAGAGAGAGACAGAGAAAAAGAAGAAAGAGAGAGAG